ACTTCATAGAATTAAATTAATATAGTTAATGTTATCTTTCCCATGAAGTTTGCGCAACTATAATTCATTAGTTCTTGTAATCACTCAGTCTAGTTATAATAATTATAAAACACTTCATACAATTAAACTAATATAGTTGATGTTATTTTTCCGATAAAGTTTGTGCAACTATTATTTATTAATTCTCTTAACCATAAATTTTGTGACGACAACTATAAAATAGTTAATTAAACTATGCAAATAATTCTATGACTAATATTTGTATAGTTCTCACCTATATAGTTGCCGTTACTATAATTTTTTCTCTCAGTGTACTTTTTCGCAAATCTGCGTTACCCACTTGGCAAAATGTGGACATTGGCTACGTAGTTCAATGTCCACAAAGGGCGTATCGCATTCGCCAATCACGAAAAACGGGGCCCTGACATCTCTCAGGCTTCTCTCTGGTGACACAGGACTGATACTGCAGTGGTACTAATAATCATTTCAGATCACGGAATATCAGTACTGTTACTCAATGCCGATTCTCAGTGCTGTTTTCAAGTACTGGCCCTCGACCGATTATTCTGAGATCAGTGCTGATACAGTATTGTGTAACGGTGTACTGGAACACAGCACTGTACCACAACTGACCCAGTTGTCAAAGACCGAGGTTTCTCACCTGGGGTCCGAAACAAGATCAGTGCAGATAGCAGGAGCTCTTCTTTCTGCGAAATAGATTCGAAAAAGAGATTTAATTGCACAGATCCACATTGAGACTCAAACGAAATGGCGGATGGTTTAATTCATACTACTAAACAAAGAGTATGAGATATTTGTAACCAGCAACGTAGCATATAGAGCGTTAATAGCGTATACATATATGTATACGCATACATATATATATGTATGCGTCCGAACACGCAGAGAATATAAAAACTAAAAATTTTAATAATACCTCTAACTTTCTCCTTATTACGATAACATTTATACTGGAGAACTCAATGGGATTAATAAAAAAACATTTTTCTAGCTATCCTCTTAGAAAGGGACAAAACCGCTCACTTTTAGCATTTTCACCGTATTGTAATACACTTTTTTCAGACACCTTTGTGAAATATTATAAAGTACTTATTAATGGTTCAAAGCGAAATTCAAGACTCCGGCGTTGATTCTAGATATTCAGAATGCTAATTCTTGGACCGACATTGCACACCTTCACTGTAACTTCATAAGACTAACCAGTTCTCTACCAAAACACTTTGAACCACATATACATATAAATTTCATGAAGACGCGTTCGAATGATGCAGTAGTAGGGGTATCGACAGTCAAGTGACGATAAGCTGATTTATGTCATTTAGTTCATAACAAATTATCTTACATGAGAATATACAATGAAGAGAAGAAAGGATAAGCGTTTCTGGAACATTTTTTACTTTAATAAAGTACTAATGAAAAATGAATTATCTTTTCCTTTCGGGTGATTTAACAGAAAAAATACCGGAGAATTGGCGGGCGCACGTTTGATGAAACAACTAGCTCGCCAACAATGTAATTAGAAAATACCGTCTATACTGGAAGTGAATAATAAGAAGTACTATATAAGCTAGAGTACAATAATTTTGAAATATTTGTAGCACTGGCCGAGCGCGTTCTGATTCGTCAAGAGCAAACGTAAGAGCCGAAAAGGAATTACAAATGAAGCTGATTTATTTTCACACTTCTACTCGTACACCAAGTTTACTTGATATATTGTTATAGTCTTTAGTTTTTCTGAAGGATTATTAGCGTGTTGATTACATGCATATAGTATTCAGTATATCTATATTTTTCAATACTCGCTAAATCTTACGCAAACTTCTGTTGTTTCATTAGGTTTACTTTTGAATCAAATGTTTTGTTCTAACAATTCGTAAAAGTTCTCTCTTAGAAAACTTATAAGATAGAGCCCATGCATTGCAAATAGCAATGATAACGACTAAAGTTCCATAATTTCTTTAGCATACATATACGTGTATATTGTTAATAGTACGATTTCATTTCGTGGAAACAACATAATTGCGAACATTAAACCATGATCCTATGAGAAAGCGATCTTAATAGACTGAGACTTCTTCTTTCTCTCCGTTCTCCTCGTCTTATTACAACGTACTATAAAACTTAAAATAAGTAACGAATCGCGTGTATTAAAAAAAAGAATATTACTACATGTACAATATTTCTTGCGACTTTAAAAAAAATATTGAATGTATTTATTAGTAAGAGTATTGCGAGAGTGTTATAATTTATTCTTCATTATAACTTTATTAATAAGTCCACAATGACAGATAGTTGCGTGTATGTCTCTTATGTACTCTATTTTCGTGTCCAGATCAAAGACACATTACAACAAGAGAAATCGCTATAAACAATTAAAAGTAAAATTCGTAACTGTTTAATTCTCACGTATAGTTGTATATAAATGCTGCGGTTTCAGATAAACTTTACGTAAAGAATGTTATCAACTAGCACGTATTGCATTTTGTCGCGATAAACCAGCGTTACGTCGAAATCTGTTGTTGAATCCATGGTATGTATTTGGCCACATCAACATAAATAGCGTAATCCCGTGAATAGCAGTGAAAATGGGACTCATTATTAGGTAAAGACCCCGAGAGAACGCCACGCAACTCGTAACGGCCCGTGATATTGTTCAGAAGCACCAACCCGTTCCCGCTGTCACCGACACAGGGACCGATTTCGTTTACCGAACTGGCGCAAAAGGTGCGATTCGAGGTGAGGCTAACGAATCTTTGATTGCTCCGGAGGCAAGTCTCCTGCAATTTGCGCAAATTAGTTTAATTAACTTAAGGCCTGCAATAACTCTGGCACGATTACGAATGCAATGAATAACACTTTCATAATAGCATCTAATTGCAATTGCCTACCTGACTCACTATTGTCGCCCATTTTACTCGCTGTTCTTCGATATTACCAAATTTTTCTTTGCCCCATCCTACGACATACCCTGTTCTGTTAACGACGGTGTCGAGATTGGGTGAACCGGACCATAGGCAAATAGGCCTGATAAAAGGATTGAATTCGACGGGCGTCCAGAGAGTCAAAATCGCTAGATTGGAGTCGCTGGTGAAACGATCGTGCACATAATCGGGATGAATCATGTAACTCTTGACTCTCGGAATCACATCTCTGTTTAATTGAACTAATTGTAAATTAAATCGCCCTACAACTACCGCTAACATGTTAGGTGGTACGGTATCGTTCTGATCAAGGGCAAACATCACACAATCCGCCACTATAAAAAAACGTATAAATGTATAAATGTATAAATTACATTTTCTTATAATCCACACTTTTTATCCGGAAATATATCTTAATTTAGTATGACGAAAAATAATTTTGTATGAATAGATAAAAATAAAAATCTTACTATAAAGATTCAAGAAAGTATAATAGATGTAAGACGAGAAATTTACTTGGTTCGATATAAGGGCTTTTTTCGATATAGCATACCTGTTAATATTTGCCTGGTAGTCAAAATAGAACCGCCACATTTAAATTCGTGTGTTGTATTCGACTTTTGTTTCTTAATCTGGTAGACTGCAACCACCCACGGCCACTGGCCTGGTAACGAGTCCTCGCCGTTGGGGATCAGTCTATTTGTGGTATCGGTGTAATAGCTGGTAATACCGCATTCGGCGTAGCTCTTATCGCGTAAACTTACACGGTCGGTCTCGCACGCGTGTACTAGCTACGCTTACACTTGGCGCGAGACACTACCGTGTCTCGTGATAAATTGGATTGTCTATACGGTAGTTACTCGAATTTCGATACCACGACTGAAAATTCTGCGACATTAGTTGTTTGTTCGGCGGGTACACAATATGCCCCAACTCGAGATTTGCTGTGATATTTCCGCTTGATGCTGCCATAAGACGTAACATATTTTTAAATTGCACATTTCCGTAGAGTACGAAAAAATTGTATAATATTTTTTACAAGGACAGAGATAATTTCCAAACATAACCAATCGCGCTGAAAATGTTTTCTATATAAAGACATAAAACGATGATAAAAAGGAAATTCCAAAATTATTATAATAAGAGTTTGATCTTTTTATTTATCATTATATGTATTTCTCCATGTAATAAGTTTCATTAGATACTACTTTATGTGATAAGTTTAATCATGACTACTTTACGTATTAGTTTTTTTTTATATTTTATACTTTCTATTTGTCCGACAAATCCATTAATCCAGCACTATCTGATTTTTAATAAGCCGGATTAACGAGATTATACTATATTGAATTTCAACCAAATACTCACATTTGGGGTCGAGACAATATTGTTGACTGTTGAACCATAGCGCGGATAATATCGGAAAATCTACGTCCGAGGGAAAGTAAACATGATACAACAAAGGTCTGCCTTGTTGAACAGCTTCAACGAACTCTTTTATCGAATGTGCCAATTCCAATCGGAAGTTTTCTTTCTGAAACACAATAACAACAAAATTATTTTCAGTAACAGGATAAATAATTAAAGACATTCAATAATGAAATTAACAAAACAAAAAGATGGACTTTGAAAGCATTTTAAACAGTTAGCTATGCGTAAGATAATATTGTAACAATCTTTAATGTTTAAGAAGGTACATAATTCTAAATTGAATATTTCCATATAGCACTACACAGCCAATATTAACAATGCAGTTAATTCCTTTTACGCGTTAAGATATTTATTTCTTTTTATTAGTACGTAAAAATAACAGATGACAAATCAGATAAGGATTTTAAATAAAGCCTTTAAATTCTTTCTCGATTATCTGTTTCAAATAATGCCAATCATATTTTCTATTTCGTTTAATAGTGTCTACATATATTGAACATGTCTAGAGATATTTAAAAAAATTATTGCACATTTCGCAACAGATACAGGAAACAAATCATGTTGTAGAAAATCGTTTCCCAAATTGTAATTTGATTATTTCAATGTGTACTTCAGAAGTCTAAATATATTATAATTTTATTTCTTTACTGCTCTACAGACATTATAATTCTGATTAAATAAACTTAATTTTAAAAAGGCTTTAGTTTAATATGCTAAAATTATTAGAAATCACCTATACTATATAATAGCCACCAATTCTATGTACAAATGTCTTCTGCATTCTTAACAATATTAAAAAGTTTACTTACCAGCGCATCAGCGGTAGTGTTTAAGGCTACCTTTAAATAAATTTCTTCATCCTCTAGTAGAGATTCTAGTGGTAGAATTTCGATCCGTCCGAATATCTTGCGTGTCTCGCGGTCGATCGTGTATGTAAGGTATTCCGGGCACAAAGTTGTACCATGTACCATGGTACAAAGTAAGTGCGGCAGCAATACGAGTAAGATAAAAATCTTAGCCATCTTGTGAGATTCTGTTACAAAACTAACAAAAATATATACTTTCTAAGTCTTGATTTAGAAAACTTAATTATACCGAGTTCGTAAATTTTCAAGCGTTGTAACATTACCTAAGTAATTTAACAGATGTTGGAATGTTGCCGATATGAGCCGAGTCTCTGTGGGTACTCACAGACAGAGATGGGCGAATTTGTAATTGAATGGAACTTAAATACAAATGCTGAAAGTAATGGGTAATTAAATGGATTTCAATTACAAGTAGTAAAAGTAATTTGTAATTAAATGTGTAATTTGAAGACAAAAGTAATTACTGCCGCCCATCTCTGCTCACAGATCTATTTATATCGACCTACGTTTAATACGTCATGAAGAGGTTAGATGAGATAATTTCGCTTTTGTGACTTTATTCATATTTCAGTTGGTACGAACATTTATGTTTTAATGATTATTACAATATTTCATATCAATCCGCGTTCGGAAAAATGTGCAGCCTAATTAAATGTAATCTTTTAAAATAATTAATCGGTGCAGCTTTAATGACCTTGCTAAACTATCAGTTTCGTGAAACAATTATTTTTCCATACGATATTGTTCGGAGAAAGTATATTACTACGCAGATACACCTTGAGGTTCGACGAAGTAGCGGGTGCTTTAAATCATATTAGAAAACAGAGAGTTTGTGACGTTAGTGATGAGCGATATGGTATACAGAAACGGATGTGCATAGCGGATGCGTATTATGTGTGCACCCAATTAAGCAAACCAAACTGAAAAATTTAACGACTCACGTGTTTAGGAGGAATCACTTTAATCGTTCATTTCTCCAGTCGATTACATTTAAAAAGAACACTATCCCGTATAGGAAACAGACACCTGCCCGTGAATCAGATTTTGCATTCTACGAGCATACATTTATCTTGCGCTGTGATTATTCACTAATTGCGAAACCGGTTGTGGCGAGTATAATTACCGTTTTATCTAACGATCTACAAACTCCGATGAGATACAACGCGCTTTTAACGTATAACCGCTTTGCTTTCTGCTTTATTATTTCACTTTGTCGCATCTTTTTACTGTCATAATAATATTTTTGTTTTATTTTTTTATTATCTTTCACCTTCCACTTTGTTTAAGTACCATACTGCATTTTCTTATCAATAATTAGAATACGCTTCAAGCTGCGCGTTATATTTCAATATTTTCTCTTTTACAACTTATTTATTTATATGCTTTCGTACTTATTTCTTTCTGGTACACTTTCTTCAAACACTTTCTTGCGAGATATTCTAAAGAACTCTTCTTAACGTGTCAAAGTAAAATTCAAAATACTGCGGCGATTGGTTTCAGAATGCTAATTCTCGGACCGATGTTACTACACCTTCAACGTATCTTCGTAAGACTAACCAGTTCTTTTGAAACGCTTCGAAACATGTTTATAGTGTCCGTGGTGTGTTGACCCGTTTGACTGGTGCAGTAGTGGGGACTTTACCGAGAGTAAAGTGATGATAAGTCGATTGACGTCACTTAGGGCTGGTTTTTCCAACCTCTTGGTAACCTAACTAACAGTTAAATTATACGTTTATCTTTGTCTAATTTAAAAGAAAAGCAAAGAAATAAGATTTAACTATTAGTTAACCTATTACGAGGTTGGAACAACCGGCCATTGGTCTACAAAGGAGCACAAAAATTATTCCACATGAATGCAATGAGGATAGTATAATGGACATGTATGTTTTTAAACATCCTTTCCTCTTTGATGAATTTGTAGAAAAGAAATTGGAGAATTGTGGCGGACGCACGTCCGATGAGACAAGCTTGCCAAAAGTACAACTGCTAGAGAAGCCAAAGATATATTAGCGATTGTTTTTTCAATTACATGAATACCCATTAAATTTTCTAATGCTCGCCAAATCTCATACAAATATTAACTACACTGAGAAGAAAAAAGTTGAATTAAGAAATATTCTAAAAAATTATAAATAAAAAAATTCTCAAGAATTGTAAGATAAAACTATGTATGTATTGCAAATAACAATAATATCAAATGTTGTTCCATAACTTATTTAATATACTGGTATGAATTGATTTCACATTCAGGAACGGTATGATTGCGAACGAGGACAATATTGAACCGTGATCCTATCAAGAAACAATCATAAAGTACGAATTCAATTTTTTCTCTCACTCTTCCTTATCGCATTACCAAGTTCTGCGTTTTAAGACCAGCAAACAATCGAAATCTAGTTTACGCAGTTTAGAATAACTATACCAAAATTTACACAGTATTATTAAGCTGTGAATAAATAGCTCTGACCAACACTTAACATATTTATTATTTACATACGTTATTTACATTTTTAATTGTTTTTGTTGCGTCGTAGAAAAGTCGTGCACGACATAGACGATACGCGTATGTACATACATATATATATACAGGGTGAGTTATAACATTTGTCCCAGAGCTCGTGAGAAGGTAGAACGGATCGAGATGAACAGAAAAGTCCTGAAACATTTTGCAATTTTCGCAATAGTTAACGAGAAAAAAATTATCGAAAATCGTCGTCTTTGCCCTGCCCACTGTCCAATTCGAGCGCGTGGCGAGATGTGACCGCACGGCGATCAATATTGCCAGGCGGGGGGTGGGGACGCGAGACGCGGGGGCGGCGACGTAAGCTCGCCGGCAACTGCGCGCTGTCCCCCCCCCCTTGCCTGGCAATATC